TCATGCTGGGTAGGGTGGAGGGTCAGAGAAAAAGAGGAAGACCCCCAACGAGATGGATCAGCCAGGTGGCATCATTGATGGACTCAAGTGTGGCAGTGGTAGTGAGGTTGGCCTAGGATCGGACATTGTTTCGTTCTGCTGTGCATGGGGTCGCTATGAGTCGGCTCTGACTCGATGGCACCTGACAACAACAACATGTTTACAGAATATGGATTTTTCTTTTCTTGATTTGATGTGAAGACATATTAATTTTATTTGAGCTTACCCTACAAGTTATTAATTTCGTCCCCACTTTAAAATAGCCTGTTCTATCTTGAAATCTACCTGATCTCATCATCATCCAGAATTCTGTAACTATATTTTTCCCTCCTTTCACTTTGTGGTTGTACTGATTATTGACTGATGTATCTGATTCCTTATTTTCATTTCTGTAGTTTTGTTATACTCTGTGCACTTCCATATCTTGAATGAATTCTGAATGGTGTTGCTGTGTATGTCAATCTTTGATTGTGGTCTGCTGTTGTTAGTTCTCAGTCCAATGGACTCATTTTAGTACTTTTGTGAAGTTTGCTTGATGTTTTACAAAGTCCTTTAATACAACTTATCTGCAAGTGTTTTAATTTTGCTGTGATGTTTGAGGGACAGCTTTGGTTCTTGGTTGGCATTTTTTTTTCTTTTAGAGTGTTGTATATGCTATGCCTTATTAACCTGCATGGTTTCTGCTGAGAAATCAGAACTTAAGCTTACTGGTTTTCCTTTGTAGGTAATGCTTTGTTTGTCTTGAGTTGCTTTCAGGATTCTTTCCTAGTTTTTGATTTTGAAGACTTTGAATATGATATGTCTTGGGGTCTATCTTGCCTGGGATTCATTCAGCTTCTTGAATGCTTATCTTCTCGTCTTTCATTATGGTAGGGAAATTTTCTTCTAACAGCTCTTTGTCTATCTTTTCTATAGTTTTGTTTGTCTCTTCCTGTTCTGGAATTCTGATCTCTTGTAGGTTATTTCTCTTCTTGTTGTCCCATATGAATATTAGGCTTTCCTCAGATTTTTTCATTCCTTTTTAATTGTTCTTCTAGCTTACTAGTATTGAGTGATTTATCTTCAATCTCACTAATTCTGGCTTCCATTGATTCAGATATACTTCTTGTCCATTCAGTATGTTGTCTATTTCTGATATTTTAGTATTAAACTTCTGGATTTCTGTTTGCAGGGTTTGTATCATCTCTAATCATTTAGCTATTTTGTATGATTGTTCCTATAGTACTTTTTGAATTCTTCCTTGTTTTCTTTGATCTTTCTGTCAGTAGTTTGTTGTTGTTATTAAGTGCTGTTGAGTCAGTTCTGACTCATAATGACCTTGTAGAGGGTTTCTGAGGAGCAGCTGTTTGGAGGTACCTAAATATCATTCTCCTGTACTCTTTTTCAGGCAGTTCCTGTACTTTGTTTTCCTCAAAATTGTTTCTAGCTTTTTCTTTTGGTCATTTGTTTGAGCTGCTCTGTCTTGTGTCTCCATGTATACAGAGATTGTGTGTTGCTTTTGAGGTGTTGTGGTGATGTTGTATTTGTATTAAGTTAATAAATGTATGTTGGTATATTACTAGGCACTTATCACCTGACTTTTGGTGGGTGTGATCAAGAGATGAGCTCATGCAGTTGAGTTCAGGGTGGATTTAGCTGATATAGGTTGTTGTTAATCTAGTGTATAGCATCTGGCATTAACTCTATTCTGATTGGTGGGGCTGAAGAGGGTTTGGCTATGTCTGTGCTGTATGGCTGCAGCTGTTGTCTGGTGAGTAAGAAGAGAAAACACTCCCACAATAAATAAGGAAGATAAACAAAGACCCCCAGCAAATTACAGTGAAAAATAAAAAGTAATAAAGAAGGAAGAAGAAGAAGAGGAAGAGGAAGAGGAAGAAGAAAAAAACGAGACAGAAAAATGACTATTACTTTTTATCTACCAATATACATAATGTCTCTGTACCATCTACTGGCCTCTTACCTTCATACCTATGAGAAATTTCAAGATGGTCCCTCTGTGACTGCACAAACAACAAGTCTTCTTTTCCCCCTTTTGTCTACCCCATACATCTGTTTAGCTGCTTCTCCTAGTGACAGCTATCCTAGGGCTGGCTATGGCTCACTTTACCAATTTGGAAAAGGATTTGCCTAAGTGAAACTATTGTTCATAACTTTGAGATCCACTTGGTTTCATCCACCTGGAAAGTGGGACCCACCCTGGGTGTGTATACTGGTAGAGGTTGGTCTCACCTCAAATCATAAGGGGAGTGCAAGGAACCAGAGAGGAAAGGCAAAACAAAATCACACCTTTGTGTCTAAGAGTCACCAATAGGCTTTTGCTTGACTTGGAAGCAACTTGATAACATCAACCAGTAACAAGCACTTGCCAACTAGCCATGAGGTCCAACACCTGTTCAAACTCATCCAAAGATACCTTAGAAGATAGGCTGGTTATAGCTGTGAAAATCCTATGCTACAGTTCTAATCTGCACACAGGAGTTTCCATGGTTTGCAACTAGCTTGAGGGCAACTAACAATAGCACAGAGTACCAGCCTGTTTTGTTTTTAAAGTTATCAATTAGGATTTTTTTCCTTCCTTTTTCTTACTTCATAAATCTCCCATTACCACACTGGTTGTTGTTGTAGTTAAGTACTACTAAGTCAGTTGTGATTCACAGTTATCCTGTCAAGGGTTTCTGAGGAGTAGCTGGTGGGTTTGAACCACCAACCTTGTGGTTAACAGTCCAGTGCTTATCCTGCAGTGCCACACCAGAATCATACTGGTTACACCCATAAACTTATTGCTTAGAGCTCCATTATTTTGTTGGGGGAGATGCTTACAGGACCCCCTTATTAATTTTTATTTTCTTTTAATCCACTCATCCCTTTTTTCTTCACTTGTTCTGCCATACCTAGCGAGGCAGCACTTCATAGGTATTATGCTGCAGTGGACTCTTCTGTCCAAAAAACATTAACAAATGTATTTATTGACTGAGTTGGTATAAAGATAAAAATGTTAATATTTTAAACCATTTTATTAAATCTAATCTTTTTTTTTGCTTCTGATTTTAGAAAAAAATTAAATGTTTCATGGGACCCTAAAAATATTTTGAACCTTTTTAAGATAGATATCTGCGGTGTGAGTTTACAGATAAACCCAAAGTACCACCGTCAGTGAAGAACTACCAGTAAAGTGGTGAATTCTTACAGGATTTAAACATCCCCAAAGCTCCAGCTCTCTTTAAGCTTCCTTGCTGTCTACTTGAGCATGAGTTCCTATAGCTTCATCCTTGTTTATGATGTGGTTTTCAAGGATAGCCGTTTGATACGCAAGAGGCAAAGAAGTTCATTGGTAAGCCCTAAAAAATGGATGCAAGTTTATTGATCATGATTTCTAGCTGTGTTGTATCATCAGAAATATAAAAGTGATTTCAGATTTTTTTCTAAAAACCAAAAGAATAAATGACAAAATTTTAATCAGCAATAGTTGATACAATTTAAATCACTTCTTGCAGCCAAGGTCTTCAAAGACGTATTTCTGGGCCCCACTTAGAGCACTGCACAGGCCCTCACATTCTCAGAGACCAATTTTATCCTCTCCCCGTATGTACCCCACTTCCAGCACACTGTGCTGTGCTGCTCCCTGTGTCTGATCACCTTTCTGTGGCATTGCAGGAAAGTGTCACCTTTGAAGTTCAGGCACAAAAGGAATAAGAGAATCCAGCTTTCCTGCTGCTGCTCTGAACATTCATCCTGACACATCAGCCTTGTATTGGTTATATTCAACCCCAAAGCCAGGCCAGAGACTGGACAAGGGTGTTTTCACCTCAGTCTTTCCCACACACACATTGTGGGAAATGCGCCAGCCTGTAATAACAGCAAGATGAGCCAGGGAGCAAATCAAATGGGATTGCCTGACTACTTTTCTCTTAAGGTTGCTTGTAAGAATTTGTTTCTGAACATACAAGGAAAAAAACCCCCCAAACTAAAAACGAAACAACAAAAAACCTTAAGCCTTTAAAAATTCCCAATGAAGAGGACATTCTTCTCCCCACACCTGTGTGCAGTTACCCCCTTACCCCAAACCCTACACCACCTAACGTCTCTTGGGCTTGCCTGGGCTCCTGCACCATCTCACACACTTTTGCACTTGCAGGGCTTGGAGTTTGCAGGATTCACTGCACACATGTTTGTGGGGATTTGCCTCGTCCTCTTTACTGCCTTTCCCTTCCTACGGCTCCTGTACTGGAACAAAAAGCTTTACAACAAGGAGCCCAGTGATATTGTGGGTAAGTATTGGCTCCCTTTGGCTCCTCTTTCTCAGAGCGCACTGCCATAACTGTTTGCTTCCGGGGCAAGTTCATCCCAAAAGGCAGGGAAATGACCACCCTCAGAATGCTGGGAAACATGGCTGTTGGAATGTTGCACACTCAGTCCTAGGCTGTCCACGGTCCTTTTGGGTAGTTTAAATTCATGAGCAATGTCTGTGCAGTTATCTGTCAGGTGAAATGGGAAAAATGATGGCCTCTCTATCAAGTGAAATGCCATCATGAAAACACAGTCTACAATGCAAATGATATAACACCTCTGCTGTGGTTGTTAAGTATCCTGTAGTAGTTTTGAGTATTAAATGTGGTTATAAAATTGGAGAGATAATTAGGTCTTCATCAATCAAAAACACTTTGGGGAGGCAGCAGCAAACAAAAACAACTGCAGTCATTTTATTATTTTACATTTTCTTAACGTAAACATTTTAAAAAAACTTGTTATTGTGAATTGAGTGCAGGTTTACAGAGCATCTCATCAGTTTTATATTCCACAAAACATAAACGTTGCTTCATTACCTGGTTGTAATCCCTCCATGTACCAACAGTTAACAGCATTTGCCTGCATTCACTTTAACTATTACAGTCCTTCCTGTGTGTCTTTCTAGCTTTCATCTGCTAACCTCACTCTTTGTATATTGCCTGTCCTCTAGTCCAGGGGTTGGAAATATCTGACCTGTGGGCCATGGAAAGCCTGTAAAATCATTTGGTCTGGCCCTACCAAGGCGACTATAATTCCAACCCTCACATTTTTGTTGTTATTAAGTGCCATTGAGTAATTTCCAACTCATAGCGACCCTGTAGAGGGTTTCCAGGGGGTGGCTAGTGAGTTTGAACTATGGACTTTGCAGTGCAAACTGACCTTGAGGATGAGTGCTCTCCTACAGTGCCACATCAGGACTCTACTCCAGCTATCACTTTTTGTTGTTGTGAAGTGCTGTTGAGTTGGTTCTGACCTATAGCGACACTGTATAAGGTTTCCAAGGAGTGAATGGTGAACTTGAACAACCGACCTTACAGTTCAAATCAATTCTGTAGTCTGGCACATTAAGCCATCACATTATGGGTGAGCTAATTACGTGATTGACCAAATATAGCAGAGTAATTTTTAGGTTGCTGATTTTGTATGGCCCATGAATGATATAAATTTTGGCAGAAAAAATGTCTTCCAACCCTGCTTTAGCCCATGAATAATTCCCCCATCCCCTGTAGCCATTATAGATTGTTTCTTTTGTCAAGAAAAAAAAAATATTTTTAAACTTTTTACATTAGTCTCATACAATGTTTATCCTTTTGTGATTGACTAACCCCCACCAATCATCTGTCAGTTTATTGTACTGTGGGGGGCTTGTGTGTTGCTGTGATTCTGGAAGCTATGCCACTGGTATTTTAAATACCAACAGAGTCAACCATGGTGGCCATATTTTAGAAGAGTGTCCAGACAAAGACAGACTAGGAAGATGGAGAGACAAATTACTTCCAAATATTTAGTCACTGAAAATCTTATGAATAACAGTGGAACACTCTCAGCACTAGAATATTGAATATTGAAACATGATAAAAAGCACCAGAATATTGTCAGATATAGCGCCAGAAGATGAGCCCCTCAGGTTGGAAGGCACACAAAAGGCAACTGGGGAAGAGCTGCCTCTTCAAAGTAGAGTTGACCTTGATGACACAAATGGAGTAAAGTCCTCGAGACTTTCATTTGAAATTGGATCACAACTCAAAATGAAGAGAAACAGCTGTAAAAATCCATTAATAATGGACACATGGAATATACAACATATTACTATAGGAAAACTGGAAATTGTAACAAATGAAATGGAACATATAAACATCAATATCCTAGGCATTAGTGAGCTGAAATGGACTGGTAATGGTCATTTGGAATCTGACAATCACATTGTTTACTATGCTGGGAATGACAAATTGAAGAGGAATAATGTCGCATTCATCATCATCAAAAAGAACATATAAAGAGCAGGCATGAGGTACAGTGCTGTCTGTGATAGGATAATATCCATATGCCTACAAGGAAGACCAGTTAATACCACTAATATTCAAATTTATGCACCAGCCACTAAAGCCAGTGAGGATGAAATTGAAGAATTCTACCAACTTATTCAGTCTGAAATTAATGAAACATGTAATCAAGATGTATTGATAATTACTGGTGATTGGAATGCAAAGATTGGAAACAAAGAGGAAGGATCAGTAGTTGGAAAATATGACTGTGGTGATAGAAACAATCCTGAAGATCCCATGATTGAATTCTGCAAGACCAATGATTTCTTCATTGCAAATACCTTTTTGAACAGCATAAGAGACGACTAGGCACATGAACCTCACCAGATGGAATACACAGAAATCAAAATGACTATGTCTGTGGAAAAAGACAGTGGAAAAAGACAGTGGAAAAGCTCCACAGCATCAGCCAAAACAAGGCCAGGGGCAGATTGTGGAACAGACTATCAATAGCTCATAAGCAAATGCAGGCTGAAGCTGAAGAAAATTAAAACAAGTCCAAGGGAGCAAAAATATGACCTTGATTATATCCCACCTGAATTTAGAGACCATATCAAGAACAGATTTGATGCATTAGACACTAAAGATCAAAGACCAGAAGAGTTGTGGGATGCCATCAAAAACATTATACAGGAAGAAAGCAAAAGGTTATTGAGAAGACAAGAGAGACAGAAAAGATCAAAATGGATGTTAGAAGAGACTCTGAAACTTGTTCTATAGTGTAGAGATGCTAAAGCAAATGGAAGAAGTGGGGAGATACAAGAGCTGAACAGAAAATATCAAAGATCAGCTCAAGAAGACAAAGTCAAATGTTGTAATGAAATGTGCAAAGACCTGGAGTTAGAAAATCAAAAGGGGAAGGCCGTGCTTAGCATTTCTCAAGCTGAGGGAACTGAAGAAAAAATTCAAACCTCGACTTACAATATTGAAAGATTCTATATCCAAAATACTGAATGATGAAGAAAGCATCAAATGAAGAAGGAAGGAATACAGAGTCACTGTATCAAACAGAAATGGTTGATGTTCAACCATTTCAAGAGGTAGCATATGATCTAGAGCCAATGATACTGAAGGAAAAAGTCCAAAGTGCATTGAAGGAATTGGCAAAGAATAAGGCACCAGGAATTGATGGAATACAAATTGAAATCATTCAACAAGTTGATGCGGTACTGGAGACACTCATTAATCTATGCCAAGAAATTTGGAAGACAACTACCTGGCCTACTGAATGAAATTGTTCTGTATTTGTGACCATTCTAAAGAAAGGTGACTCAATGGAATGCAGAAATCATTGAACAGTATCATTGTGAGTAAAGTTTTACTAAAGATAATACAGAAATGGCTGCAATCATACATTGACAGAGAAATTCCAGAGGTTCAAGCCAATTTCAGAAGAGGACGTGGAATGAAGGAGATCATTGCTGATGTCATATGGATCTTGGCTGAAAGCAGAGAATACTAGAAAGCTTTATTAACTATATAAGTAGTCAATAAAGAATATTTGTGCTTTATTGACTATCCATAAGGCTTTTGAGTGTGTGGACCATAACAAGCTACGGACAACATTGTGAAGTATGAGTGTTCTGGAACACTTAATTGTGCTCTTGAGGAACCTGTACATAGACCAAGGGACAGTTATTCAAATAGAACAAGGAACACCAAGTGGCTTAAAATTAGGAAACGTGTGCACCAGGGTTGTATTACTTCACTATACTTATTAAATCTGTATTGTGAACAAATAATCAGAGAATAATCATATAATGGATTATATGAAGGAAAACATGGCATCAGGATTGGAGAAAAAATGATACCCACCACATAAACAAAAAAAAAAAAGGAAAAGAACCACATGATCATATTGATTGTTGCAGAGAAGGCATTTGACAAAATCCGATATCCATTCCTAATAATAAAATTTAACAAAATAGGAATAGAAGAGAAATTCCTCAACATAATTAAGGGCATATACTCAAATCTAACATACAACACTCTCAATGGAGAGAAGCTTAACGCATCCCTTTGCAAACAGGAACCAGATGAGGGTGCCCTTTATCACCACTCATATTCAATATTGTGTTGAAAGTCTTAGCTGGAGCTATAAGGTAAGAAAGAAAATTAAAGGCATTCAAATTAATAAAGAAGAAGTAAACTCTCTCTATTTGCAGATAATGTGATCCTATACATGGGAATCCCAAAGACACAAAAGGAAATTTATTATAACTCATTGAAAGTTTCAGCAAAAACTATACAAAAATCAGTTGGATTCATCTACACTAATAAAGATAGTTCTGAAAAGGATATCAGAGAAACAGTACCATTTACAATAGCCACCCCAAAGATGAAACACTTAGAAATAAATTTAACTAGTGAAACAAAAGACCTATACAGAGAAAACACTGCTACAAGAAACCAAAAGAGATTTACAAAAATGGACCGAGGGCCAACTAAATCAATTGCTCATATGTAAGTTCTGGATGAAACTGAAGAAAATAAAAACAAATCTTCAAGAGTCAAAATATGACCTTGAGCATGTTGTTGTTAGGTGCCATCGAATTGGTATTGATTCATATCAACCCTATGCACAACAGAACAAAACACTGCCCAATCCTGGGCCAACCTCACAGTTGTTGCCACGCTTGAGTCCATCGATGCTGCCACTTGGCCAATCCATCTCGCTGGGGGGTCTTCCTCTTTTACCCTGACCTTACCAAACATGATATCCCTCTTCAGTGACAGCTCCCTCCTGCCAATATGTCTGAAGTATGACAGATGAAGTTTGGCCATCTTAGCCTACAGGGAGCACTCTAGCTGCACTTCTTCCAACACAGATCTGGTTGTTCTTTTGACAGCCCATGGTATTTTCAATATTCTCCTCCAATACCATAACTAAAATTCATCAATTATTCTAATGTCTTCCTTATTCACTGTCCAGTTTT